CTTCTCAAGCAATGTAGAGCCGTTCAGAGTAAGTTCAAACGGCTGCTGATGCTTGCGAATAGAGTTCTTTGCAGCATTAGCGACAGTGGCGTCATGCATGCCGTAGCCCTGTTTGGGCTTTGTCTGATTGGGTGGTTGTCGTGCTTGTGCAGCGCTGCTTTGGGCGCCAAGGTTCGTCGAACGGAGCTTGGCTTCCATTCCGGCCATGTCCCCTTGACTCTTGGCAACCTTGGCTGGTGGCTGGCCTCCAAGACGGTGGCTGTATTCGGGCTCATCGTCATAATCTTCGTTAAGTGCACCGAGTGCCGACTGGAATCCTGCTGTGCCACTGCGGTTGGTTTGGCGCGCGTTCGCGCGGCGTTTTCCTTCCTCTTCTTGTCTGTGCACTGCATAACCGACATCAAAGACTTCACGGAGGTTGAAAGCGCCTGGAGATCGGAAGTCCATGCGGCGCTCTGCTGTGACAGATGGTTGATCGAGGAAGCGGGCACTGGCGGGTTGGAAGGGTCCGTGTTCGGCATTGGAGGAGTCGAGTTGTTGTGGGCCGTTCTCGGGGTTTTGGTGGTAGGGTGTTGCTAGAGGGGGTGCGTCCGCAGCGGCGGTAGTCTCATCATCAGTACCCTGTATCCAGGGGTGTGCGAGGAATTCCTTGATGGTGAACCGCTTTTCAGGGTCCACGGTGAGGAGATGCGAAATCAGATCCTGGGCCGACTTGGAAATATCGTCCCACCAGGGTGACAAAAAGGTGTATTGGCCGCGCGCCACCTTCTCGGTAAGGACTTGGATGCTCTCGTCATAGAACGGAGGGAACCCACAGAGAAGTGTGTAGAGCACACAACCCATGGCCCACATGTCCACACTTTTGGAGTAACGCTCATCCTTGACGATTTCTGGGGCTGTATATCCGACAGTACCGCAAGGCGTCATTGTCTGGCTGTCCCAAATCACCTTAGACAGACCGAAGTCTGCAAGCTTGATCTTGCCAATACCACCCGCACCAACGCCGGGGATGAATTCTCCCTCATCTTCTTTGTCTTCGTCCCCTGGTGGTTGAGGTTTGGGATTCTTGCTGGGAACGTAAGGAGTTGGATAGAACAGGAGGTTTTCTGGTTTAATGTCACTATATATCTGTTAGTTTGCGCAAGAGCAAGTTTCCACAGGATGACAAACCGATGAACGACACCTGATGTTTCGTGTAGATATTCAATTGCTTCCGCAACCTGGCGAATGACGTGACGGCTAAGATCTTCGCTGAAGTACGTCAACCGGACAATTTGGTGGAATAATTCACCCCCGGGGCAGAGTTCGAGGACGATATAGTAATATTGCCGTGACTCGGAGAAGTCGATCAATTTGACAATGTTGGGGTGGTCAAGGTTGCGCATAATCTGAACCTCTTTGAGGATGTTTGCCCGCTGTTAAAAAACTAAGAGTTAGCAATGGCGAAACAAAATGCGCAGCCATGCACAAAGGTAGTGACATTGGGTAGTATATCAAGTCACCATTGCAAGGAAGCATGTCGACCGTCCGGAAAGAATTGTTTGCGCACCTCCAATGCCTTGGGGACTTTTTTGACCGCCGGATAATGAGGATCGTTCTACAGAACGTATTGGCCATGTTTACGGACATATTGCAAAGCATGTAACCAGGAAAAAAAAACGTGGCGAAAAGGAAAAGAAAGGCACCTTGCGGTAGAACCTACCTGATTGCTATTCATTTCAAATTTGCGGACGACCTTGATGGCCACCTCTCCATATTCCGTTGTCGTATCCTTGGCACGATAGACGTTACTGAAGGCGCCGTCGCCCATCTTCTCTACCAAGATCCAGCGTTCTAGACCGGGGTATTTGGGCATCTTCGATCGGTTCAAGTTCTCCTCTGCCACTAGACGTTCGATTTCGACAGAGCGATCCTGTCTGATCTGAGAGTCAGGTTTGTGGATGGCATTGGCTCGGCCTTCAGGACCAAAAGCCTCGAGAGTAGGTGAATATTGGCCTATCGGTTGGCGTTGTGGCTCTGCATGGATGGCGGAAACGTCGGTCGTGGGCTCGGAATGAGGGGTGACAAGGCGGGCCTGCTTGCCATGCCGAATGAAGTTCTTGATATTCTGTATCGTACTCATGATGTCTAAGAAGAATCGTGATTCATAAACAGTTCTGGGTTGGTTTCGGGGAAGAATGGAAAACAGAAGAAGAAAAGGATGAAGGGATTTTCAGGAAAGGGTTTCAGACAAGTTGAAGAATGGATTTACCCCACTAAAGGAGATTGTAAATCACAAAACAAGAGAAATCAAGATAGAAGGACCGGAAAGCCGACAGATACAAGAAGAAGAAAAATAGGGGAGAAAGGAGATGATGGCGGGGGAGAGCTATGACGAAATGAGAGATCTTTCCCTGCGATGTCATCTGCCAAGGCCAACCTCCATCCTGGTCCTCTCGGGACGTCATGGTACGCCACTGATCCACTGTGGTAATGAGCTCAATTTATCTATATTATTCTCCATGTACGGAGGCTGTTTGGGTTCTTTCCTTTGACTATTTACCCCATAACTTACCCCGGAGATTAGAGAATGACAGAACAGGAGACCGGAGACCGGAGACCGGAGACTGGAGACTAGAGACTCCTAACTTGGGCCATCCTCCATTTTCCGATCCCTAAACAATATCACCTTAAGGTAATCCCTCGCACGAAAGGCTTGGCTGACCTGATTCCAGATGTCTTCAAACCCTGGCTTTTGTGGGGGTTGATATCGTCATCACCCGTTGCCACATGCTTACAATTGTACTTGGAATTCCAGGTTTACCGACGGATACACTTGCTTTTATCCTATGATGCCTGTGTTTCGAGCCTTAGAATATCCGCTAAGCTTTGAATCTCCTATTCGTACGGAGAGCCCCGAGACGAAGGTGCGGATCTCAACTCTTCCCTGAATGCTGAACCTACAAGGGCAAATATATCAAATCAGGAGTGTGCATACAAGTATGAGATGGAGCCCTGTTCATGAACATAGAAGTATCAGGAAAATCTTGATATATTATATTTGGTCGACTCCACATGGATCAATTCATATACGGAGTAGGAGAAACTGCCAAATGAGTCCAATAGGTGCATACAACGTAGCTCTGGAGGGTCGGGGCTCAATGCTGTGCTTAGTAAAAGTCCAGAAATTCAGCTGTATCATGATGTATGTAGGTAGCACTGCATTGAAGTTTGTCTCTTGAGAACATCAGTCCCACTTATAGAGTCTATCCTTATAATCAACATGAGTTATATTCATATGAGATTGTCAGCTTATCATCCACAATTTCCCTTTTTCACTACCTAATTGGATTTACAGGATTTTGTAGAGGAACCCCGATTCTTGGCTGCAGGACTGTATAGATATTATATACATTTTTCTTTTACGGACTCACACCCGTTACAAATCTAAAACGTCTGGTATACAATGACTACGCAGACTCAATGACAGGCATGGATGCAAAATAGAAAACTTTCTCATATGGTAGAAACCGACAATCAAGTTGTCGAAAGTCTACTGTCTTCTCTTTGATGTATTCGCTGTACAATATCAGACATACTACATCATATGTACACTTTCAAATCATTTGTAAACCATCTTCCCAAAACGAGAGCCACCGAACAAGAGGATATAGGCCTTTATATATTCAAGAGAAGATTAATCAAGTATAGAAGATCGAGTTTTGTCGAAGCTGGAACATGAGCCAGAAATGTGTTGTACATAAGATCATGATACAAAGCACTATTTTATTACTATCTCTGCTGTGCTGTGTTGGGATGCTCGAAATCCATAGTCATTCATTTGTGAGACCACCAAAATAAGGATGTGCATTTTAAGGAATGTATGTGTGTGTGTGTTTGAGACTTGCATCAAGGGTCAAACATGCCAAGTAAGGGCTGCGATAAAGCCATGAGATCTCGAACCAATCTATGCCCGAGAAATATTCTGACATATTCGATTTCGAGTCTCCACATAGTCCTGATTTGTAGATGAGGTCGATCGTATACTCCGTATAATCTAGTGACGGTGAATTATGCAAAAGAGTTTAGCGTGCCCGTTCGGGCTTAGCGCCTCCCTGCTCATCACCGTGCGTGTTTCTATAAAGTACTCTTCATCGTCGCTTCAACTTTTAGCTGTTTTTCGCCCTTCTACCCTTCCTTTCACTCCGTTCCCCGTGTACGCCTTGCAAGTGAGGCATTTTTGCTATTGATCCGGATCACCGAGCTCCGCAACCCCCTAAATCGCCAGCGTGAACTAGCCTCCTCTTTGCAGCGATCAGTGCTATAAACACAACCCTCTAACTATATCAGGTAAGATGCGGTATATGTTTGGAAAACCCAGGATGGATACTTATCCATCTTCGAGTGTCCTGGCCCTCCAGGTCCCAACATCTTCCTTCCATCTTCTAATACGCCCCCCCTTATAATACCTTCAAACGCCATGATCCTCTGCTACCACACTATCCTAGACCCGAATAGGAAACCGATGCTGATTGAATTTTATTGCAGAAATCAACAAATCTCCCTAATCTAACATGATCACCTTTTCACTACGATAATAATTTGAGGCTGTTGAACTAGAAGCAATTTGAGGATTGAACTCATCATCTCACACAATGCATTTGTAGTTTGAATAGGGCGGATGCGAAAGATGACGAAGCGCATTTTTGGTGAACAAGTGGTGTATTTTCTACCTTGGTAGGTAAGGAGCCCCCTATTCTAGTTAGCATCACCATATGCTCGAACGAGCTTGACCATGAGATAGTTCTGCGAATAGAAACCGTTAGAGCAATTACGCTGACAGCACCTGGACATCCGATCGAATACACATTTTCCATCCCTTTAAGAAATTGTTGATACCTAAGATGGCACTCTCATACTTTTCGCTAACCTCTCATCTGTCGAGGCCGCAATCGAAGCGCAAGTTGTCTCTGCCGATCTGGTCTTGCAGAGCATCTTGTCAACACAGGAAAATGCAAATCTCAAAGATCGCCGACTGATGGGGTCTCGCCTTCCTTAGGAGGAGCATTCTCTTTCTCGAATTCCGGTAGATTGGGAGCGTGCTTGGGGGCCTGGGCAGGTGTATCTGTTTTCTTGCTGGATCCGGTCACAAGGGAAACATACACAGGCGCCTGCGGGGATACACTCCTCATCGTCACCGAATTCTATTTTTGGCCCATCGCGAGGCTCACGGGCATGGTAGCGTAGAAAAAGGTTCCAAGGCCCCTGGTTATTGCGCACGAAACTGTAGATAGGCGCGGCCCTGACCATCAAGACACCAGACTTGTTGAATTTAGCCTGGACGAGACGTCCGTGTCGAGGATATAATATGGCCCTGCTAGTATGTTTGACTTCTATTATTTTTATGTTTTGTTCTGTAGCCATATTTTAAAGAAACGATGTTAAATCGGGAGATCTGATCGAATGCTGAGAACTGTGGTGAAGCAATTTGGCCCTGCTCCTGCCAGGGAGGAAGTGAGACTTCCCTTGATGGTGCTGTAATATCTTATGCCTCCTTTCAATATTTCCCTTTTCATCTCAACCCACTACCCTCCCTTCTTTTCTCCCACCACAACTTTTCTTCTCTCTCCGGGGCATCTCTTCACAGCCGACATCGCACTCTTCCCTCATGCCCCCCAGACCTTCAAGCTAGATGAGGCGATCCCACAGACATGGTAACAATGGAACCTGGAGGCCCAAAAGCTTCGAATCTCGACGCACTCGATTCACCAGCGAGCTAGGTCGCTTTCAGGGTCTAAGATTGATCACAACCAGTATCTTCTACTGAAGATTCTCTGGGATACGGACCGCCCTTACGCCCACGCTCTAAACGAACTTGGTCTTGGACAGTTTCACCATCAGGCTGCGAACTGGCTAGGTACATTCGTCCCATTTCAGCAATATGTCCATTTGCCTTCTTTTCGGTAGCTTCGCTGTTGGGTGTTTTCCTGCGTCTGTCTACATTGCTGTCGCACGCTCTCTCGTGCCCCGACCTGCCTGTACCGACCAGGCTGCCTTGAGCTTCCCCACTTTACTAGTTAAATTAAATTGACAACAAGACGGACGAGAGGCCTCCAAAAGCCACGCACAATCATGGCGTTTTCACCGTCACCCAGATCTACTCCGTACATTGTAGGATGTAGTGACCAATCACTGGTTCGCACCCAAGGATGAATCTAAACCACTGAAAGTAGACTTGATAAGACAAATCTCAAGTGGTAGGTTCAGGGTCCGAAAGGTCCCCATACCTAAATTTTAGTGTGATGGATCCTGATGGATCTGCTGTGTGATCACCAGTGTGATGAAGCCTCGATGATATGAGGCTACAAGGCATCAATATTACCCGAATAGGAAACAGGCGCTAATCAGCGGGAAACTGGGGCACGAAAACAACCCCCATCGTCATATTATTCAACCTTTCACACCAGCATTTCTGAACACTGTATATTCTTCTTTAATTCTGTTATAGGTTATTTGAGTGATTATTCTTTATTGCCCCATAATTAGCTGAAACACGGGCATAAGAGCGCTTGACACTGGGCTCCCCAGCCACTCGCCAATATCGTCCATCCCCACCCTTACAGCTCACATTGCACAGAGAGACAGGTCGAGCCAGAGTCTTCATTCGTGAAAGCATATACCCATGCTCCGTACTCTATACTGAACTGTTGTTTGTAATTTGTGGCGGACTCGAACATACCACGGACGATCGGTTCCCCCCTGCATCATAAAGAGACAAAGCAAAGCATTCGGGCTTAAGGATCCGTTGATTTTGACCATTGGTCACATCTTGGTCGCGAAGTGCTCGCGCGCGATGCGACCCTTGCGACACTCTGAACGAGAGATCCTACTCAGTACTATGATACCCAAAGGTATCTAAACGCCAATCGAACTCTCAAAAGCGACCGTGGATGCTTCAGGTCTCCCAGGCTGTGCTGTTTCCGAGATGCCGGGCGTGGAAGTGATGGGGTCGTCGGAGGATTTGCAGGCATCCGAACGGCTACTCCTAAGGTCTCACAAGCCGCTCCCTCGGCGGGGTGTAATTGTTCCCAGCATCGAAGTCATCCAACCGGTCTCCCCGGATCAGGATGGGAAACATACTGCGACGTCGTCGCTTCCCTTGACACCGCCAGGTGCAGGCCACGAAGAACCCGTGGTTGACGAACGAACACCTCAGAAAATGAGTTCTTCTTTGTCAAACCTGCCCACGTCTGGGGTATTGACCTCTCGCCGTTCCTCTAAGCCTCCGACCCCGGATGTGACGCCTCCTCGAACGAACTCTGATAAGCGACCTTCCTTAAACCAGTTTAGTTATTTCTCCTCGTCGTCTCGAGCCGATTCATTTCAAACGGCCTTGGAGAGTATCTCGCCGGGAGAAGATATGGACACGCCAGTTAACATGTCTCAGACTGCGACCCCGACAGCAAAACAAAGGAGGCAACCATCAAAGCCACCTGCCTCAAATGGATATCTTCCACACTTTCCAAATATAAAAGGATATCCGCCGTCTGCTTCTCAACAACACGGCGAAACCGAATGCGACATTAGATTCGAGTATTTTGATGGACATTGGGCCGCAAACCCGATCGATGGGTCGCCAACACCGTTGGCTGGGAAGCGAAGGACTGCACAAAACCACACCCAACCGGTCTATAAGCCAACCCTTGGGGGAGATGCGCTGGATATAATACACCTGGATGCGTCTTTGATGAGAGAAAAAAGTCTGCGGGATCGCGTAAATGGTGCGCATGAACCCGAAGCAAGTACTTCAATGGAGCACTTCCGTGAGAATATTGGGTCATCATCATTGGAGGGTCTAGCAAGATCCAGTGGACCAGACGCCCGTCCTTTGTCGACCATCTCTTCGTCATCCACTGTCGAGGCTATGATAATCGATTCTCCCAAACGAGCCCAGCGAATGCTCCGGCATACCGAAAAGAAAAGCTCTCTGCGTTCTGCCAGCTCTCCCATAACAAGATCTGAACGTACATCTTATGGCTCCATCCCTGAATCCCAGCATCGCTTGGTTCACAAGGCTGCTCGTATTTCTGATCAGGATTTTCGAAGCAGAACACCGGAGACGTCGTTCTCGGCCAAGACTAGCAACAGTGCAATACAGCCCAATATCGAAACTATCAACGTGGTGGTCATACCTGAGAGAAGTTCATCTCTAAAGTCCCGTCCTAACAGCCATGCTTCTTCCAAACCGGGTTCTCAGCGATCAAGCCGTTGTCCTCCGACAGCATCAACAGGCCGCACAGATATCCCAGGACAGAAGAAACGCACAGTGTCTGATTCAGTGTCGACTCGATCTCGCGAGACCGATTCCAGGGGCTATCCCATGGCGCGGCCTGTCATTCCACCCCGGGCCTCATCGCTTTCTGCGCCGACGAGTCGGAACAATTCCCGCGCGACTTCTCTCACTTCTAATAGCCTGCGAAGTCGTCCCACAGAGCGTCCCGCTATACCACCCCGAAGCTCGTCGCTTTCTGCGCCAACGAGTCGGAACAATTCTCGTGCGACTTCACTTACTTCCGATAGTCTACGAAGCCATAACTTAGCCATGGACCTCGAGATACAAAAGAATCGTGAGCATCAGCCGATGTCCCCGCCTCGCCACAACGTCTTGTCATCGCCTGACCGCCATGGCCTACTCGAGGTTCCCAATATGCACGCCCTCTTTGCTAGCTCCGATGATATGGCGACCCTGCGCCCTCCCTCTTTACCTTTTACCCAAGGCTCGATTCCATCGTCTTCGCCGGGGCCTATCGAAATCCAAGAGGCCACAGCCGTCAGTCTGTTCGCACACAACAATAGATCACTGCTGCTTGTTGATCCCCGGGTACAAGCCTCAAGAGACCCTTTCCAAACGCTTGGAATTTCTTATGATCTTCCTCAATCCCCTCGTACACCCGAAAATCTACCACAGATCACAACATTCAATGTCGACTCGCCTTTGAAGAACCCTCGTCCTCCGCCCAAGCCCCCATCCGCCAAACCTCTTCCCCCGCTTCCATTAAATGAAGCCCAAGATGAAAATAAAGGTCTCGTTCGACGATGGAGTTCCGTCCGTCGCACCTGGAGCGCACGCCCTCGATCGGATTCCTTCAACAATATAGCGCGGTCATTCTCCATGAAATCGGCGAAGAATCGAACCGCAGGAATGGAAATGGACAGTCGTCTTTATCCGTTTTGGCGACCTCGTGGATTCTGGGAAGACGTACCCGAATCCCCAGAGAAAGAAACCTCGCCGACGCGGCAATATTTGCCACGCCCCGATGAATCCTTGATTGTAAACAACTCTCTCGGCCTGCCCCAGCGGCGTATCATCTTCGATGGCCCACCTGCCCTGGCGCGCCGCAGCCCAGAAATGAGACGTCTGTTCAATGGAATGACTAGCAATGGTAGCTTGGTTGATCAAGGCATGTTCCGAACAGGGTCCCCATTAAACCGGAGTCGCTTCCGGTCTGTCTCTCGATGGGGACTGCGGCTTCAGTCGATGTCATGGCGCAATGTGCGGAATCGACTACGACGCGTGCGCCAGCGACGAGACGAGAGAAAACGGGCTGTCCGGAGGGAAGCCCTCAAGCAGAGCATCGGTGGCCCTGTTTATGTGGCCTCTAGTGCTACAGCTGAGGTGGCTATGAGATGACTTAAATGATGCTGTTTTTTACTTTTTGTCTCATGTTATTCGCAAATTTTATGATTGGACATGTTTCACGCATTTCAAACACTTGCCCGACGATTTCACGATGCGTTTGCTTTTTTTTGTTTTGTTTATCAAATTGCTTCAATGCCCCGAGATGATCTTTTGATATGACCTCAGATCTACGATGATTACGAAACATGAACCCATGATGATGATTCTATTGTTTTCATTCCTGCTTTATCTCGTCTTTTGTTATCTCAGATGTACCATTACCTTGTTTTGTTTACTTATAGCATACATCTGTATCGAATTTCCAACCAGTTCATCAGTCCAGGACCGAATAAGGATTTTAAGCTGCCCCTTGCTTTCACTTGTGACATAAGATGGCCTGTAAAGCAATAACTAGTTAGTCTCTTGGCTGGATGTGAAAAAATTCATTGAGTAATGAATTAATATGTGAGCACACGGACCTAAATGTGCTATTTAAAAGCAAGACTATGTTAGCACGAAGCTATACTAACCAAACAATTCTGGGAGAGAAATACTGAAGACTGGGTGTTGTATAAGACAGCTGGCTATTACAATGGTCATATTTGTTCTATTAAACAAATAAGGGGTATCTAAAAAAACTTCCAGTTCATCCCAAACTCATCAATATCAGCGCCTACTACCCAAGTAGACATTGCCTTTCCCCCTTCCTCTCTTTCCACGCCCACGTACACTCGACCGGCCCCGAATAGCCATAGACCCATACTCCGTCTCACGCTCCACTTGTTGTCTCATTCGCTCAGCCGATTCATCTTCCTGATCCACTCCCGAGCTCGGTCTATCACCCATTGACTGTGCTGCTAGTCTCTCGCGACTGTGCTTGAGAATCGCTTCCCAAGCTGGTGGGTCGAGGAAGGGCTGTGGTGGCATAGAAAATGAGACTTCAAAGCGAGGGGGCTGGGGGTCGTAGTTTTCTTCGTATTCAACTTTGCTTTTGTTATGCTCGCTTGAACTTGGGGTCTTATTTCTTTCTTTGGTGGCCTCTTCGTATGACTGTTTGATACTCGTCTCTGCGGGGATGGCGCTAGGATTGAGGACTTTGTATACCTTGGAGCCTGGTCTGTTGGTTGGTGAGGGTAAGAGAGCGCGCTTATGTGGGATGAGCAGAGGCCGAGATTTCTGGGAGGGGGTTGATGAAGCCATGATTTTGAGACAACTTCAGATAAACAGGGACAACCTTGGATGGATGAAGAGGTGAAGTTGAAACAGTTGATAAGCGGAGTCAAGATCTTATCAGCTTATCGGATAGTGTTCTAAGGCACCAAGGCGATTTGTGTACACAACATATCTCATCTCAATGTTGTTAGTACTACATTAATTGAAATAAATACGAATATGTCCCGGCTGAAACACGATTAGAATTCTACCTGCTTCCTTTGGTATGCGTCCAGACATCCCGGTCCCCCACCTCGACATATCCTTGCTAGCGCTGCCGCAGAGCAATCTTTAGCCCAAAGTTTGGTACATAGAACTCCTCGAATGAAAGGGAGCCAGCCAAGAGGGTGGAAGCCGAATTAGGCAGTAGTACATCATACTGACATAGGATATGCGCGAAGGCGGGTTTCATGAGCGCAGTAGCCATCCATCGTCCAGGGCTGCAAACACGAGCAAAAACCAGCTGATAGAATCGGTTGGATTTGGAACTAGTGCATGAAAAGAAAAGGTGCTAGCCAGAAACAAGTCTTACCAGACATGTGCGCCCATTCCAAACACCAGATAGTCAGGGCTCAGGTCGAACAGCCGGGAGTCCTTGGCTCCAGCTGCTGCACGTTTGACGAACCGGAAACCGTCGAACGCGTCGGGGTTTGCATAGTGCTTGCAGAATCGTTGGATGATTCCACTTGGGACCGCAACCTGGGAGCCCTGCTTGAGTGTGATGCCTGTTCCATGGCGTGATAGTGTGTCTGCGAAAACGAACCGTTGAAAGTTTGAGGTCAGCAAGGCAGACTCGATGGGCAGAGACTAATACCCGAATTATTGCATTAGCCATGCACAATTCTCATGGGTGATGGTTTATTGACGTACGTGCCGAAGGGAGATGCAGTCGCTGGCACTCCTTCAAGAAGCTATTTAATCAAAACCATGCCATCACAGGCTGAATCGGTTGGCCCCATTTCGGAGAAAACCAGATCAATCTCTTCGCGCAGCGGTGCAATGTATTCGGGCCGTCGAGATACTTTAGCCAGGGCACCGTATAGTCCCTATTGGTGGTTCAGTTAGCAGATTGCAGGATTGTGACATGCGTATAGAGTACTTACATAGGATGTGGTGTACATAAAGGCGAATTGCAGAAGCAGCATTCACCTATAACCTCTGAATATGTCCATCACTGCCGAAGAACACTGCTCTCGTACAGCCATTGGAAGATTTCAACCTATAGAATCCTTTAAGTCAAGGTATCATTGGATGGAGTAGGAAGGGAGGTAGGGATACCGGATTGTCCGATTCATCGAGATTAGTCTCACTATGTTTGTTGCCATTAAATATCTCGGCGTGATATTCTGCTGTACGTGCATAGAAGTGCTTGAGCACAATCTTACGCGAGGCGTGCATATCCCAACTAGTCCCAAAAGTAACAAGGCGACTGATGAGGCCACCAATGTAGTAGCTATTTGGGTCTTAGTACACGGGAAATATAATCAATAGAGCATCTGACTCACGGTTTTAGGCAATCTGGAATAAGAAATTGCACACGAGTGGTCACGATCATCCCAAGTATGTGATCCTTGACAGCTTTGAGATATTCCTCATTCTGAGAAAGCCGCGAACCGACAATAACAAAGCTACCACTGCGGGCTACGATGGAGTATGCCAGGTCAAAGCAGCCAACGTGGCAATCTAATCAAAGACGCTAGAGAAAGTCTCACCTATAAAGTCACCAACACTTACCCCCGTCTTTGAAGTGTAATGCCTGCAGCTGCGAGATAATTGCCTGATTTATAGCGGGCATATATCGATGCAGGGGTTTATGAGCCGTGACGCGAATCAAACCAGGCGTAGTTTTAGCAATCTTTGGCCATCCCATTCTCTTGGGGAAATAGCCAGGCATAACATGAGAGATCTGGAGGAGCTGTGAGATATTTGTTAGCGTAAACATAGAGAATGCTTCCGAAAGCCCTACCTGATCAATCCAAGGCTCGGGGGAGACAATAGTACTCCGTTTATTTCTTAGTTCTTCAATCAACTCTGGCTGGCATGATATGACTTGACCGAAGCGGAATGTCCGCGGAATCTCGAACAAGCCATTGGTGAATTGTTCATAACCTTTCTTTATCATACCCGGACCATCCACAACAAACTTGTACTGTTGGTATAAGATCGAGAAATAGCCTTTGCGTGCAGGGAAAGGAACGTAGGTCTGCCAGTTCAGAGAACCATATCAGCATGTGAATTTGTATTTTGGTCAACTATCACTAGATGGGATGTCACCAACGTTAGTCACGGTATATGAAGTAAACACTAAAGCGGCCGCTACCACAGAGCAAAAGACAAAGGGAATAAGTAGGCACAGCACTATAAGCGAAACTCGAGCTTCCGCCTCGGTCCAATAGAGGCTATAAAGAAAAGCCATTTTATTATAAAGAAGCAACGGGGAAAAGAAGACATGAACAAGAAGGGTCAGGAACCGAGATTATATAGTTTTTGTCCAGCGACAAGGATGAGATGAGCGAAGAGCAATAATATCAATGTGTCAGGTTGAGATTGCTTCTACGGAGCGAATCTCAGCCCACAAAAAGCCACAAAATAACTCAATGTGATGTACGTACATAATGTATCGGACTTTATGATTGCAAGCTATACTCTGGTTTTTTTTTTTTAGACAAGGATTTTTGACCAAATATAGCATCATATTGGAACAGGAACCCATAAGAAATATAGACGGATATGAATAGGACATAAACTCACTGGGAAGTATCAGCGATGGAATGTGTGGTATAATGATACAAGACAATGCAAGCCACGCTTGCGACCTTGGGGGAAAAAAAAAAAAAAAAAAAAAAAAAAAAAAGCCATAACGCCAAATAATTATTAGGCAGGCCAATCTATACGATGCCCTGGGATTCTATCCCACTCATTGTGGAGTATGAATAAGGCAAGTCTACCAAGCCGTCAAGCAGCCAGTTCAACGGATCGAAGACTTCGTAATTAGGTTCAATGAAGCCACTTGGAAGTCCGGTAGGTTGGGTTGTAGATGGTTGAATCCCAAGACTAGCCTGGGATAGCAGGGGAGCCGGGGCAAGGCTTGGATCGTTCCCTGTGATTCCAGGTGTTATTGTAGATGTGTGTACAGGCCCGACAGATGAGGTGCCCGAAGAATCGGCTGCCGAGTCAGGATTTGTTGGATTTTTCAAATAGGCTAAAATCAAAGGTTAGAGACGTATTTATGTCTGAAATTGTAAAGGGATACTGACCTTCAATGTTTCGGCCCTTAGTCCTGGCATCCTCCCGCCAACGCCATACAGAGTCGAATAGCAGGGACATGCTCATTCGGCAGCGTACTTTGAGGCGCAGGGAGTCGTCAACATCGGTACTATTGTTAGACCTTTGACTCGCTCCTCCCAATCTCCACATCTGAGCCAACACTTCAGCAAGCCGTTCGGGCAGGTCGTTGCTGGACGCTGACACCCCCGGATGGCCCAGATTGTGCGGTTGAATAGGTGCTTGGTGTATTCCATGTCTATGTGAGAAGCGAAGAAGCTCTTGCATAGCTTCAGAAGAGTGCAGCCGGCAGCAACCATCATCTGATAGACATAGTATGGGGTGTAAGAGAGGACAGGGCCAACATCGGTCTCGAGATTCAGGACAACCTCGAGGAATGATGTCGTCGCGGCATATAGAGATAAGAGGCGTTCGCGGTAATTCTTAGTAGTTGGCTCATCAAAGAATGCCGAAAGGTGCAAATGAAGGTTAGCAGCACGGAGGAACAAGTCAGTAATACCTGGCATCGTTAGTCATGCATCCTATATATCCCCACTTGAAGTTTGGAAGCTTACAGTCATTCTGCGGTTTGAGTTGTTCTTCTAACTCCTCAAAGTCTCGCGACAGGAACGAAATCATTGTTGAGCGTTCATGATCGCTGGTTAAGCCAACGGGATCACGTCGATTTGTGTAAAGCGCCCGGGTGACTCTATCACAAAACTTTTCGATCTCCAATCTTGGCCGCATATCTTCAGGAAGCTTGAAGTTCGGGTCTAGCGAATCACTCGAGGACAATGTCCAGTCGTAAAGAGTAGATGAGGGCTGTCCATAGCCGGTGGAAACTCTGCAAAGGAAAACATGAGACAAAGGCGAGCAGCAATTGACTACGGGTTTGTACATACCTTTGAGCAACAATATTGCAAATCGCCCAAGTTCGCACCTTATCTCTCAATTCATCCTCAATCAGTTCCACTCGGAATTTGCTGAAGTCCTGGGTGTGGGAAGGCCGGTGGAGACCAAGCTGCATAGCAACCTGTACCATCATTCCACATAGCATGAAGGTCGGATCTGTTGAGGTGCTGCTTGTCGGGAACGGCCATGAGCACAGTAAAGCGAGAGCCTTCACAACATGGTAGTTTTGAGGGATATCTGCTAGAGTGCTCCACACCAGCCGGGTGACAGGGCCAGCGAGAGAATTCAACAAATTCGAATCGCCGTGATAGCGCCGTGCACCGACACTGATAATTATCCAGAAAAGCAACGAAGAGGAGTTGTGATAATACTCAGGAGACTGATTTCGGTCCAAAAATGGAAGGAAAGGATGATAGTATGTGAAGAATCTGGCAGGAACAAGTTAGGATGGATCACAGAGACTTGACAGATTAAGACTCACATATTAAACAGTTCCGCCACTTTTTCGGGAACAACCATAACATCTTCAATTCGTCTGATTTGTCCACCATTTCTCATGAAGCTGGTACTGTCGAAGCCCGAACGAAGGTCCAGGAGGGACGCAACAGCTTCTTGAGATCCCATGTACTGATCTGCGGACATGGCTGATGGGGTTTGATAGACTGCAGGACTGACTTGGTTCGATTCTTGCTTGGGTGTCAATTGTCCTGCTGTCAATGCTCGTTGCTGTGACATTCCAGGGGCGGGTTGGCCATTAGCAATCTGCTTCCTGAGCTCCATTATTTCCCTCTCCATTTCTGCATTGCGGCTGCGCTTCCCAACACGCTTGAAGTTGGACTCGATTTTACAGTCGAGCCTCAGTCGACGGCATCGCGAACAGTCGGCCCATGGGTCTTGAATCACATCGCATCGGAGCTGTCGCAACCCAAAAAAAATTAGTCAAACTAGAGAATCGTGAGAACTTTGCGGTAATATTCTAAACCTACTTTCTGTTGTCGACATTCATTGCAAGCGCGCTTCACTGGCTGACGTCTCTTTTCCTCGCGCGCATCATTGTCATCCATATCCTCCATACTCCCCGGAGAACTGTCGATCCCCGCAATTGTCATATTGCGTTTGCGACCATGCACGCCGTCGGCAGCAACTGAGACAGGTAACTGATTCACGCCCGCCATTACGGGGCTGGTGCCAACATGAGCATTATCAATGCTCGCAATCGGTTCAAGAGTTTGGGCCTGGCCCTCTCCGATGCCGTTCGATCGCCCGAGAGAAGCCAGGCTGAATGACGTTTTTGCTGGTCGAGATCTCGGTTTTGGAAGAGGGAGTTTCGAACGGATTCGCAGACACACGAGTTGAGTCTTGATCCGGGTAGTACAATTTGGTTCGGTTATTTCTTTTTGTCTTTAATAAACCCGTCTCAACTTTCTTCGGTTTCTCATCGGTGAGCGCACTTCTTCCCTGAATATCGATGAGTCAGCGCGGAGGGGTCTACCACGTGACAGAATGTGGCTCCATATCCCACGTGACAGTAGATGGGCTGTACATTAATAGAGTATTGATTCCATATTGCTTTTTTATTGCACGTACAAGCGTATGGGGAAAAAAAAGGCACTAGCAAGACACTAGAAACTCATGTGTACAAATTAAAGCACATCTCCACCCTTGATCAGCAGAAGTAACTAAGCCTTCGGACAAAAGCCACCAAGGCAGCAAGCAAGGCAGTGCACCCGCCCGGCTCCGCCCTGTAGTTTGTATCCAATCCAATATGAAATTGAAAAAGACTCGTTCTCAGATTATTGGCTTGGTAAAATGAAGCCATTTACTACTCCGCAAAGGCTTTGTATTTCGAGAAGGTTTGACCGAATGTAGTTTAGGCTCTGACTCTCAGTGCAATTAGTGGCTATCGTCATCATGAGACCTCGTCTATCTTGTCCATCTTAGGCCAAAGACCAGGGGGATGAAAACGCCGTGCTGACTTGTTTTTAACTCGGTGTACGGAGTACCCTGGTACAAATGAGATACTTAGTGCTCATCGACTGATATAAAGGGTTACCGGACCACACCTGTCAGACTCACCCAACAACTTACACTTCACATACTACCTTTATCAAACAACAACATGGGTGTGTCAACGGAGAAAAATCCCAAAGATGCACCCGATCAATCGGAGACCATCAGCGAATCTTCCAGTGTGCGACCACCTTCCTATTCGGCCGACAAGGTCGAGCAAGCGCCACTAGAACTGCCACTGTTGCAGCTGGGTCCCCCTACATCTTCTTCGATTACCGTCACTCCCGATCAGTGCGTTGCACATCTCAAGTTTCTGGCTGTGCTCGCAGACCTGCGAGATACTATCTCTAGTGATGATGGGCTCTTTAATATCAACGATGCCGAAGCTGAAAGATTCCCGGATTCGGTGAATGAAGCGCGGGCTCGTATTCGCGAAAAACGCTGGGCCGTATATACAGCGCGTGCGGTCGATCGATATACCGAGTGGTGGTCTATTGGCCTTCCCCGGTCAAGGCCGATGGCAACTATCAATGACTTGGAGAGTGTGGGCTATGAAAATATCATTAATTGTGATACTATGGTCGCATGGAGCACGGACAATCTACCCCCGCTAGGTAAGTGTATTAATTTAAGGCAAAATGGCGGTTGACTAATTACTCTATAGACATTTTGATGGTCTGGCATGCTCATTCGTTGAATCCCCGGAACTTCCTTGAGGATTGTATTCGATACGGCAAGATGAGCACCTGGGCAACGGGATTCCCATGGGAAGTGATAGATCGTTGCATCAACAACAACACGATGGATTATACAGTTTCCGAACAAGCCAAGGATCAGTTCGAGCAGAAAATGAATTTAAAGTGGAACAATCTGCACGACCTGCCAACCAAGGACGTCAACTGCACATGCTGCCAAAGGGTGAACGCTGTCCCATGGACAGATGCTTACTTTGGCGACAATGTTGCCAATGCCTTCAAATTTGGCAATGGCTACGCCGATAATTCATTTGAGGTGAAATGCTTCGGCTGTCAACACATAATCGACCATGGCCGGCTTAAGGTGGCAAAATTCCGAAAAGACCTTGCAGCAACTCTGTACGAAGACCTCCCCATGCCCGGGTCGTTCACCGATCTCCATGGAATTCCCGGGGGCCCAACTGCGAAGTTCAACCATCGGGCCCTCCAATATATGCTATTCCCCACACGAGTTGTCCAGGCTGCTGGGAAGAACTTGATGGAATTTACTGATGGCCGAGTGGATTGGTGTCAGAACGTCGTCCGTCTGAAGGAGCAACTTGAGACCAAGCTACACGACAGAAAGATTTTGATGGCCGCGCATGGTGCCAGCATGAGTAGTATCCTGCCTACCGAGAAGATCCACTTCCGACGAATGATGTCTCGATACTGGGAGAATCTCAGTCCCTTTGCGCTAGACCTTGTGGGCGCTGTGATCAGACAAGGCACCTTCGTGGATAAAATGGACCAAATCGACTGGCTGCACTCGCCGACAGTCTTCAACACCATGGACCGGCTGATTAAAAAGTACAAAGTGTTCTTCCGGATCATGCTTGAAAACCCAAAGAATATGGCCGTGCCCACACTGGACGTCGACCTGGCCTGGCACACACACCAACTCAGCCCATTGCGGTACTATGGATACAGCACATCGAGCCCATCAGCTAATGATCTTCGCGTGTTCATCGACCACGACGACAAGGTCGACGAGGGAAAACTCTCCGACGGCTTCGCCTGGACCAGCAAAATGTACCGCCGTATCACCGACGGCGGCGTATACAGCGAATGCACCTGCTGGTACTGCGAGGCGACACGGACACCAGACCTGTATGACCGGTTTATCACTATTGGTTCCGTCTCTCGGGCCCGAACCGCTGCAGACCTCTTGCACGATCGCCCCGACATCTCGTCCGACCCAAACAAGAACCCACATATCTCTTCACACAACTCTGTCCGGCCAACAAACCTGCACATTATGGCTGAGAAGGCAGGCGCTCTGAAACATCAGATTCTTCAAAACAACTACAGAAAGGCTGCCCGACGTGCTGAGAAGCGTGGCCGTCAACGATCCGACTCTAAATCATCTAATAACCAGGGCGACATCTATCCCTACTACATGCCTTACGCATATGGGTACCCTATTGTAGTGCCATACTATGGACCGTACATGATGGACCCGTCCATCAACTGTGATTCATACGCAAGTAACCCTGGCTGCATGAATGTTACTGCAGGCGCCGCTGGGAACTGTTGTGCCGGCACGTGTGGTAAGTCCTTCCTACGCCATCCTAGAAGCATTGATGAAACTGACATGTCGAAAGGTGGTTCTGCAGCCGCAGGTAGCTGTGCAGGAGATGGTGGTAGTGGAGGGTGCAGTAAGTCTTTTTATGAACTTCGGTATACTACAATGGATACTAATATGTTTCCCATATAGGCAGTGGCGCCTGCGGAGGATCCGGTGGTGGTGGTGGTAAGTCCTCTTCATTGTATTCGATAGACGGAGTTACATACTGACTTGGCCATTTAGACGGCGGCGGCGGTGGTGGCGGTGGTGGCGGTGGTTGTGGAGGAGGAGGTGGAGGAGGTGGAGGGGGTTGTGGTGGAGGAGGAGGTAGCTGCTAATCCAAAGAATGACTGCTGATACCCTTTTTTTTTTTTTTTTTTCGGTTTTGCTGTTTTATACTTGTTGTGGTTAATCCCTTGGTTGCTTTATGAAGTAACTCATTGAGTTGTGCTTATTGTTCAAGAGTCAATATAACTATACGATCTGCTTGATTTAGGCCTCACGCCCAAAACTCCTGCAGCCGCCTTCTCCTGTACCGTCTTGTAATCTCCGAGAATTTGACATATTCTTCTATGTTTCAAATTCGAGCTCCCTATCATGACCGGGAACGCTGATATACACCCCTGGTGACTAGAAGATGACTAGCATGGGACTTCTTTGCCTAGGTTTTCAGTTGCTATTCAGCTTACATCTCAAACAGGGGGTAGTCTCTTCAACTAACTATTAAACCTCACAAATCAGTTAAGACCAAGCCAATTGACATTGTTTCACCATTTTCCTGAACAATTTTTACCACTACTGTACTTACTGTTAAATATGACTATCAATATATTGGACTCACGCACTATCTATGGTGAAACCTTCCCGATTGAAAGAAGAAAGAGGAGGAGAGATTTATACAGGTTGACCTGGGATCGGTAGATGGCACACGGATGCCCAGTTAGGCACATCCCTGCACCTATATCAGGTATTGAATCACAATTGAATCACTAGCAAGGAGAAGTATGCCTCATTCTGTAACTTTCCTGAGAAAGACAACGGTAGAATCCCCTCAAAGGAGATTAACACCTATACTAGTTTCTAATAGAGCCGGCTCGTCACACATCCAACCCCTTTTTGTTTCATCGTACGTCTTCATCTATGAAACATAGATTCCACAAAAAAAAGATGGACCTTTACCCCGTAGTGGGTCGTTGATCCCCCGCTTATGATGTACAGGTACGCAGATGTAGAAATGACATAAGGATCTACATTTTGGAACAATATACGTTCATGAGATATTCATTGTATGCCCCGTCCAAGGGTCAATTGAGTTCACAAGAGTGAGAGACCACAGGTGAGAGATATAGAAGAGATTGGGAAAGGAGACAGAAAGAACGGACGAGATACACAAGTGGGAAAAGGGAAGCGGATCGTAGAATTTGTGGGTTTGGTATATATGTGCGAGGTGAGAGGCCAAAACAGAACAAAAAAAAGGACAAACGAGAAGCATAGAGGACATGGAAGTGTGTCATGCCTCTATGGATATAAGTATTTGATGGGGATAATAAGTATGCGCCGGCCATTCTGAGTAGGCCATTTATGGGGGTTTCCAAAACAAGCCGCAAAACAAAAAAACAAAAAAAGCACAAAGCGGGCCAAGGAGACATGATTGATACATGGGATCTCAAAAGGTAGTGAATAAAAAGGTCCCGAGAATTGTTGAAACACTCCGTTGAGAAAAGAGCTTTGAACGATTATTGGACATTGGCTCTATTCTCCATATGGAGTGGTTGTAAACATGTAAACAAGAAGGTTCAAAAAATTCGCTCAAGCTCGTACATGAGAATCGTGAAAAAGGGGGGGGGGTTCGTTCGACATAAGCCAGTTTGACCCAAGAACTGGCTCGGAGGCGCGGGGGCGCGGAGGCTATTGGGAGATTTATTCTTCCATGTGGCCAAAGACACCACCATCGTCATCATCGGCCGGCGCAGAGCGGTTACCAAAGTCTACATCGGCGTTGTGACGTTGACGGGACTTCTGGGCATCCTCACCACCAGTCCGGACCTCACGCTCATCGGACACCTTGTACGACAGCGACGGGTTGAGCGATCGGGCCAAGAAGATGTTGGCCTCGGAGACTCGGCGAGCGGCCTCCTCTGTAGGGCGTGATTGAGGGGAGAAAAGACCCTGGTTGCTCGGGTGGCTGCTGGAGTCCAAGTAGCGCGCTGGCAGTGGAGGGACTGGTGGCACGTCGGGGGTCATGGAAACAGGCCCGGTGCGAGGAGTCCCGAAATTGCACAGGCCGATGGCCGCGGCAAGATCCGCCTCATCATCCTCGTGTAACCGTGTGTCCGCAGTCGAGGGACGGGTGTCGATGCTCGAGTGGCGGAAGTGGGAGAAGGTAGGCGAGTGCAGCGGGGCACTTTCGTTGTACGAGCTGGAGGGAATGGACTGGTAGGAACGAGAGAAAGCGGAGGCGTTGCTGACGCTAGGGCGTTTGGCCCACTGTGCCGGCATACCCGACATCTCGAAGTCGTCGTCTTCCTCCGAGTCCATCGGGGGCGGCGTGGTCTCAGCAGAACTGATGCCATCTCGCATTTCTGACAGGGCGTCCGGCGATCCAGACGACAATTCCGACTCCAACTCGGCGGACTCATCGGGTGGATCATCGTGGTTCATGGTGACCAGAACGGAGGCGGCCTCCAGCAGTTGAACCTGCTGGTGCTTAGAGATGAGAAGCTTCGAAGTAACGGACCATGCTGGATCGTGTTCCCACCTAAGATACCACGAGAAAAATAACACGTCAATCAAATGCTGCTGAAAGGGATGAAAGAAAAGGGGGCAATGACGAAGGGGGAGTTGAACAACCACGAGGGCGACCTGCACAGAGCCGACGTGGTGAAAATTCCCGATCGAGCTAGAGGAAGACGGCCGAGCGGTAGGGGGGATACACACATATGCTTAGACAAGCAGCTGCCATGCTTATACCCTTTCCCGCAGCGATCGCAACGTATGGCCGTCGAGGCACGCTTCCCTTCGGTCTTGAGTTGGGCACCTTCGCTGGCTCGGCGGTTTCGGTTCTTGGGCTTGCCATCGGAGTGATCCGAGCCCGGAGAACCTTTGCGGGCGACCGGTGAATCCTGACTGGGGCTGTTGATGCTGCGGGAAAGGTAGGAACTGAAGCCCGATACGTTTCCGACGGAGCCAGACTCTAGTCCCTTGCGGCCTGCGAGGCTGCGGCGGTGCGCACCCATGGGAAGCGAGCTAGCCTCCCCGTCCTCCAGGGAGGCAGCGACTGCGGCGGCGGCATTGGCAGCGGCGGTGGTGACACTCTTTCGGCGAGTTACCCGGTGGTTTGGATTGAGAGCACCCAGCGAGATCGAATGCGCGTGTTGATGCCGCTGGTTAGGATTGGGGAGAGGACGCGACATGGATAATTCCTGTAAATAGCCCAAAACAGGCCGATACATTAGTTCGGTCCCCCCAAAACAAAAAAAAAAAAAAAGTGTCAGGCGGAACTTCAATGCTAGACACGTACTTTGAATGAGGCCATGGTAAAAAGTTAAAGAGGAGGCTTCCAATGGAATTGACGATCCTCTAGGACACGAGTTGCCCTCAATTCAGGGTGGGTGAAATAAGGTGGAGTTCCGGGAGCGAGATGTATAGGTAGAGAAGAGCAATGAATGCGAGAAGAGGAAAGAGAGAATGAAAGAAGAAAAAAAAGGCGAGAGAATCCAAAAAAGAAAGGTGGAAGGGGAAAAAAAAGAGGAGAAAGAAGGAGAGAAAGAGTCAGGGCCGGTATGAGCCAAAATCGCTCAGGTTTGCGGGGGCCTTTCCCTTTGAGCATGCGGGGGGAAGAGGCGATCACCGGTCACACATACGGGTTTGGTATTTTATTGCTAATATATTTGAAGATATATCTGACATTTGACTATATTATCTATACTTTACTATATTCTACATTTGTAGGTAGGCCCCCCTATACTGTGTGTTATAAATGTGTGTCGCAATGACTCTAATACTGATAGCAGTGTGGATCCACTTATCTGAATAAAGACATACGGTATAATCTTGAATTCTAGCGAGTTTTAATTGATGGCGAATGTTGGGCATAACCCTTTTTTAAATAAAATCCATGTCTTAATACCCTGGCGCTCGGATGGCGTTCCGCACAGGGGAAAGGTAGTGCCATGGGTCCTGGCTCAGGCTATAAAAGATATTTATATTCCCACTTCCATGGAGATTTCAAGGTTATTATATTGTTATTTGCATTGCAATAGAAACACTTTATAGAAAACAAAATTTATAGAAAAAAAAAATTTCCAGTTGCCTGACGATCAACTAGGGTCACAAGATAGAACAGCTGGACTCTGGGTCCATGTACCAATCAAGTTACTTGGTTCCCACCCGGGTCATGACGACTAAGTATTGATAGGCGATGACGGCAAGAACTTGAACTAGTGACTTGGAAAGTACCAGTTTCTCATGTATCGACCAGATCACCTGCATCGCATCGACCGGTCTAGTACGTGGAAGGCAGTGGATGTAGTGGAGCCAATGATGTCATTCGGAGGGCTTAGTCAAGGGAATCACCTGATGCGCCGATACGGATATAATTATATGATTTATCCCTATTTCCCTGTGTACTATGAGTACGTACATGAGGACTCCGTACATTGCACTTGCGAACCTTGGAATTGTGGCTTATCTAACCCAGTCCCAAGACCTCCATCCATTCCTGGATACCCGTGGCCCGGGACAGGTGTCAGTTAGGTAATCGCTCAGGTCACCATATTCCTACGATCAGGTCGCGCCATCTCGCACGCTAACGCCTGCAAGAGAGGATCATTACTCCGAGCGTCACACTACCCTGTTGCGCACGAGCACTTGGGCGGAATTATTTTTGGCGCCCTTTAGGGCCCCTGCAATATCGGAGACCATTGAGCCCCCTGATCTTACTTATTTCTGGCACATTCCTAAGGTTCCTGGCCCGCCATTCTTGACCTGCGGCTGAGACACTCGGGGCATTCTTCTGGTCGGTATTATTGGATTAGAAAGTCGGATCATTGTCGATCCAACTATTAGAGCTGCCGGGAGGTGCCGTAGCTGTTGAAATTATTTCTCAATGGGCTCATCACAAAATTTCAATGTTAAATCAGTCCAATGCAAGTGAATTTCATATGCCCCATTATTATTCTCCAGTTTTGTGTTCGCATGACGTGGTCGGACCCCCAGGGCTGAAAGGCCCGAGGTAGAGGGAATATTACCAAATGCATGACAGATAATGCAAACAGTGCAAACGCTTTTTTTCTCGGAAACTTTTGAAATCTTCAAGATTGGAGATAAGAGATAAAGATCAGACCCATGGATCCCGGTCGCAACACCCTCACATAATAGGTCAATTGACTTTTCGATACAAACTTCAGAAAGTCTACTTGCATCCCAACCCATCCAAGTCCCACCATAAACAACTCGAAAAATCCCATCCAAACCGCAGCAATGCTTCATTCACGTCTACGACCCCTCCCCCGCCGCAATCACCCCACCAACACACTCAGCGCCCCAGCACCCGAATTCCAAAACCAAGACGCGAACAGCGAAGCCGACGAAGAACCCGAAGATCTCTTTGGTGCATTCCTCCCCCACCTCTTCCCAGACGACGCACCGTCCTTCCACGGCGACCCAGGCCAACACCTCCTCTACAGCTCCCCGCGCTATGGCGACCTCAACATCATGGTCCCCAGCTACCCAAGCTCAAGCCAGAAACGCTCCCAGGAGATCGCCGCAGGCCAAGCCAAGCCGGACGGCTCAGTGAACCAGGTCGACGAGGGACGAAAGCTCTTTGCGCATTTCCTCTGGAGCGCGGCGATGGTCGTTGCAGAGGGTGTCGAGGAAGCGGATACGCCTCTAGCACCAGGTGAAACGGAGACGGAAGTCCAGAAAGAAAATCGGGAGCTGTGGCATGTCGAGGGCGAGAGTGTGCTCGAGTTGGGAGCTGGTAAGTGGCAATTTGGTTTTTCGCATTCGTCGCAGTTTATACTGTGCTCCCAATACAAACTAACGCATTCATATTATATACAGGCGCCGCCCTTCCCTCTGTAATCTGTGCCTTAGCCAACGCTTCAAAGGTCACAGCAACCGACCACCCCTCCTCTCCCGCGCTAAGCGGCGCAATCGGTTTCAATACAGAGCACAATCTAGCCAAGCGCACGCCCGAGGTCGCGGGGAGAGTATCAGTGCACCCGCATGAATGGGGTGTGTTAGATGACTCCTTCGCGACGGCGAATAAAGGTGTCTATACGCGCATTGTCGCGGCGGATTGTTTCTGGATGCGCTCGCAGCATGAGAACCTCGCGCGCACGATGCAGTGGTTCCTTTCGCCAGGTGGAAAGGTGTGGATTGTTGCTGGGTTCCATACGGGGCGGGCGATTGTTGCCGGGTTCTTTGAGACGATTGTTGAGTATGGGTTTGTGATTGAGAGGATCTATGAGAGGGATTTGATTGAGAGGTTGGAGGATGGGGGTGAGATTCGTAGGGAGTGGTCTCCGGTTAGGGAAGGGGAGGGTACGGAGCATCAGAAGAGGTGGTGTGTTATTGCTCTTTTGAAAAGGAAGGGGGAGTAAATTGTGGGTTGTGGTTTGATGATGGTATTCGGTGCATTTTCGAGCGATCTATCATTTTCCTTTGCATGATAAGATGATGAGTATAAATAGATGAGCATAAGATAGAGAAGTCTGCCTTGGAATGATTGGAATGTTTCAGCATTATATCCAGCCTATGTCTATACTGGTGTGCACTCTATCTGTTTTGCTAAGGGTATAGTTCGCATGGTATTCCGCAGATCCACTCAAGCATCAAGCATCCCCAAGCCTCTGGAAACACACCGTACAAACTCCCTGTCCCTCATGACCTCCAAACCGGAACCGAGGATACTCAACACGGCCCCAAACCGCCAACCGATCCCCACTCGTCCGACCACCAGTAAACCAATACACCAGCTCTTCCTCAGTCCAGTTACAGGTAGTAATAATCAAGAACCCATCGCGCCGCACTAAGCGCCGCGCAATATCAGGATACCTCTCACAGACACGAGTGGTCTTCGCATCATCAGCTAGCGAGACAGCATCGAACGTCCCCTTGTCGAGCACAATGTCGAAGCCGCCATCCTGGTATGGGAACCAGGGGAGTGCTTCCTCGGAGGAGGAGGGTGATACCTCAAGACCGGTCTCAGAAAGAAGAGCCTTAGAACCGAGGATATCCCACTCCTCAAACTCGATAGATCTTTCTTCTTCCGGCAAGTCATTCGATCCAGCCTCAGCCTCGACCTCTCCCTTTACATCCTCTTCATCATCAGACTCATCCTCATCCTCAGAGTCACTCCGATAAGCCGAATGCCCTCTCACACGCTGCAACTCTCTCGCGAGCTCAACACTCTGACGCGAGTAATCAACACCAACAAGACGTCCCGTATACCCACCCCTCTTTCTAAGCAGCGCGAGCATACTCCCATTCCCAGTCCCCAGATCTAAAACACTTGGCTGGCGGGATCCTTTCTTGTGCGTTGTATTGCGCGGCGACAAGGGAAAGGACTTGCGCGTGAGGAAATGAAGGACTTTCTGCGGGGCGTTGTGTTCGGAGAACCAGGATGTGCCAGGGTCATCTTCTTCGTTTAGGCTGGAAGTGGTGGATGCGGCATCATCGTCATCTTGATCTTTAACATTGGTATTGGGGTCTTTGCTGGGAGCTTCGTGCGAGATGTGGGCTAGTGTGCGGGCGTAGTATGATTCCCAGCTAGGTTGGGATTGTTAGTTTGCGATTGGAAAATTGGGTTGGGTATTAGAAGTAGTTTTATAGATCAATCGGGCTACCAATTGTTCCATCGCTGCTTTCGCTGCTTTTGCTGTGGTAGATTTGTATACAACACATGGAGGGGCAGAGCGGGGTTCATGGATTCCCCGTCCTTGCGTCGAAGAGAAGAGGGTGCGGTTGGAAAGGACACATACTAGTCTTTTGTGCCCAGCTCACTGGGCGAGAGGTATGCAGGATGAGATTCTTCAGCCATTGTCGCGAGCGCGGAGAGGATGCACAAGGAAAAATTTGGGTTGGAGGCCGGGGTGTTCCCAGGGCTTATCGCTGTCTCCGCTCTAGTCAGGAAAAAAAACTAGATGCAAGCCGAACCCACGCTCAAAATGAACGACGGCCTAAACATCGCGCCTATGATTTGTTAGTCTTGCTTAGTATATGTGGTAATAGGGTAAGATGACCTACTTGGCCATACTTGCGTCAACGAAAAGTGCCAGTTTTTCATATACCCAGACATGGTCGCTGAAGAAATAGATAGCGATCGCGTTTCATACCAGCATCCTAGGATTTTCGATAAATCCAGACTTCTCAGACTCTCGGATCGGGGTGATTTCTCAAACCTTCATAGCCCATCCTCGGATCAAGACGTCTTCCTTCTCGAGATAGAGCAATAAGAATGATAATTGAATTGATAGCGCCGGGGAAAGAGAAGAAGATGGTAGGGCGGTATGATATGAGATTGTTAGACCATCCTGTTTCTTAATGCTTGAATGTTTGCTATAGACTAAGCGATGATTTGATGATTGTCAGATAGTAGATAGATTGACGTAGTAAACAGCCCAAAGCCACAATTGGACCTACTAGTACTAGATTTCATGTCATTTTTACACAGTTACTGGAAACAATTGGAGCTGAACATCGAACTCTATTGTGAGACTGCGCAAAAGGGTATTCATCATACAATCTTCCACCCATAAAGAATACCACGAGATCCGATAAGAACCAAGCAGCTTCACCACGCGAATGCTGAACACACAGAGAAAGGCACAGAAACCAAGGCCTTGTCTGAGTGGCAAGATGGAAAGACGGGAGAGTAACATGAAACAACCAAGCGAAAGCAAAAGGAACCCAAAAAAGATAGGACCCTCCGATAATATTACAGTTACCAAGCGGAAAGAAAGCAGACAGGTCTGTTTCATCTTTCAAGGCCTGGCTTTGGTATCAAAGCTCGTCCGTTTTGGACACCCGAGACGCCAGTGATGAAAAAAAAAAAAGTTCAAGCGATGGTGGCCTGTAATGGCGTTGGACCCGTAGGTTCAAATGACAAAAAAAGAAATATGCAGTGAGTATGCAAGTTGAAAAGAGAAAAAAAAATGCGATGAGCGACAGCAAAGCCTGCTTTGGTCATAACTATCATCAAGCCAGTCATCTGATTGAGATGAGTGGAAGAAATTAATAAGTGAGAATAGAAGGTTGCATTGACCTCCGGGGCGCAAAGCCCCGGGGGTGGCTGAGCAGATAGTCTTCAAATCAGGAAGGAGACATGGAAAAATATGTCGGGTCATGGAATCGTTTCAAGCCAGGTCTCAAAGGACACAAGGCGGAGAGATCACAAGAATTCGTCAATGGATCTCATGATCAGGGGCTCGCCGCCGGATGGAGGTGAGCGGGGGTCTGCCGGTTCGACGTGGGGGATGGGAGGTGGAGAGAGGGCTGCGGAGCGATCAATCCGGTCGAATGATGGTGGTTCCAAAGGAGTTGGCGAGAAGAATTCGCTCGTCCTTGGTGAAAACAAACCATTGGAGTCTGGCGCATCACGTACAAACACATGTGTTTGTACGAGCGGGTCACAGCTGCTGACGCTGCGCGGCAACCCTCGTGAGGTTCCACGGTGAAATTTCTGTCGGAATGGGAGGGGGACGGGGGACAGACTCCGCTTGGGGGAGTAAGACTTGAATTTTGTGTAGCTACTGCTGTCGTCGCTCGTAGTGGGACGCATCGAGGTCGTTTCTGGGATGGAGAGGCAGCTAACTGAAGGTGCCTGCGACAGTCCGCGGAAGGATGGTCGGCTTGCTTCGTTGGAGGCTGGGCGCTCAGCTCGTGCAACCTGGGGCTCTGAGCTTCGTCGACCGGTTTGGACGAACCACTCCTGGGGTGGGGGCTTCGACGTAGATCCCCGCAGCAATTTAGAGCGGAAGTCTGTGAGCTGGTAGATGAGACTCATATTAGGGCCGACCCACTGGCTCCGTCCCTTGACCGCTTCGTACATCGAATTGAAATCCAAGTGTCGGTTTTTGTACAATCCGTAGGCAATCACCAGCGATGCTGAGCGGCTGGCACCTAGCTGACAATGCACGAGAACTTTCTTTCCTTCGGCGATCCGGTCATCAATCAGCTCACAAAGCGGGAGCAGGTCTTCGAGAATCTCAGAATTGTGGTCCCAACCGACATGAAGGTACTCCGGTTCTAAAGCTGTAGGACTTGCGATAGCAGGGGTTGGCGACTCGGAATCCGAGGGTTGGAATTCCCAAGCAGACTTAAAGGAGATTTCCGAAATCGCAGTCTGGGGCTCCCCGCGGGAGAATCGTTTCGAGGCCATGGAGGCGTTCCGCCATGTGCTCATCACTGTATCATTCCGCTCCTCCTTGCTAGTACTGAACGGGTTCACCACTTCTTTGGCGACGTTGATCACCACGTCGAATTTAGATGCTTCTTCTGCTGTTGGCTCTAGATACAGGTAGACACCAGAGTCGTGGATCCGGATAGGCCCATCCGGGTAGCCACGATCCTTCTTGCGGGTCGACTCACGCGAGTCGGGGTGGTCGTCCTCTTCTTCTAGGCCATGGAGAACACGCCGAGAGAAGCCGGATCCATCAACCGGCTTCAACGTGACAGGGGACGCATCCTCGGACGCGCTAGACGAGCGGCGCATACCAGGATGTGACATTAACCGGGGAAGCTGCATACCTCCCTGTGGGGCGAATGAGGGTGATGTAATCGCTAAGAGCGAAGGTGAGGATTCTGCGTGGCGCAGGGATGGAGTCGGGGGCACGGCATCAGTGATACTAGATAATGGTTTATTGAATGTGGGGGTCTGGATGGTGAGATTGGCGCGTCGCCTGCTCTTAGAAGGGATCACGATGGGAGATGGTGCGGCATCGAAGTGGTGTTTTGACGTCTCCACCATTGATGCAGTAGCGATAGGTGGGTGAGACTGAGACGGGGGCGGCATTCGCAAGGACAAGTTCTTAAGATTACGTGCCCGTCGATTGGGGGAGTCTGGGCGCGTATTATGAGGGGTTGGCTGCGACAGGCGCGGTTCACCGACCGGCGCAAGGCGCGGAGGAAGTTCCATGGGCCGTGTGGAAGGCATGAACTTTGGGTATGAGACCGACATAGCAGAGGGAGATTCCGGCGAGGAGCTCGGAGAGATGTCACCCCCACCGGGCGAATCAAAGGGCGAGATGGTTGTGGTCGGGGAGGACTCGGTCGATGCCGAGGTCATGGATGAAACACTTTCGCGGTGAGGGGAAGGAAGTAGACGTGTATTGACAGGGACATGGGTTGGGTATTGAAGTGGATGGATGGTGTTTGCTTCTTCTTTGTATCGTGGAAGGGGACCACCAAATACCGACATGAAAGACGGAAATGAGTCCGGAAAGGACGGCTGGCTGGTTTGCACTGGCATTGTCCGAGGAGTTGACACTATGAAAGGAGGATTCCTTTCAATCCGGCTCTCAAGAAGCTAGAATGGGGATTCGAGATCGAAGATACACTTGCTGCCTGCGCAAATGAGTCTCTATGAGGAAGAGGGTTAGATTGAATCTAGGGCAACTCGAATGCAAGGGCTTGAGACTAATGGTCCGATGCAAATGACAAGGGGAAGGGCACGATGCATGTCAAGGAGAGGTATAATAAAGATGGAGAACATACCAGATCTAATAAAAGAATATAAAAATAAGGAGAGAGAGAGAGAGAGAGAGAGAGATGAAAGGTTCCTCCAGGGAACTGGAAGGAAAGATAGAAAAGGGAAGGAAAAACAGAGTACGTTTTTTGGACTCTGTGTTTTTTTAGAGATCTCCTTCAAGGGTAATAATACAAAGAGGGGACCGATCCAGAGGGAGATGACACCAATCAGTGCCCTTTGCTCTAATTTTAGCCGCCCAGGAATGTTAAGTCGGCGTCAAACGAACGCAAATGAGAGGCTCGAGAGTGTGCCTCCGCCCACCTTAGTGTATATTATATCTCTACTTGTTACAAGGTATTTAAACCCTTTTCTCCGGAAAATAATTCAAGTCCCTAGACCTGTTAAAGTTGTATATTCAACTGTTATAATACAAACAGCTTACAAGGGGGGAGTTGAGACGGGATGTGGAGATGTGTAGTAAGAGGATATTATTCCAAATGTTCCCGTGTAGAGAATCCACTGGTTTTTTTTTTCTCCATACATTCGAAGGTCAAGGCAGAAAGGAAATCACCGAAATGCGAACGGCACGGGTGAACGGTGGGCTGGCTGATGTGTGGACATGATACCATTGGACCATTCAGCATTTTGGGGGCAATCCCCAAACCCCAAAATGAGATCTGATTGGACGATATCAAGAGGAGAAGGCTCATCCTGAAACCCCATGGATCTGGGTTTGGCGCAGTATGAAACACACCAAATTGGCACTAGTGGGAAACTAGTGTATCTGGGCAGTTTGGGTCTCTCTAGATTCTGTTTACGGGGTATAAATATGTTAATCTATTCTCACTAGAAAAATCATCATACTCCGTACTTGCAGAATTGTATGGTTATTATATCCGGGGTGCCTATGAAGGAAAGTTACCTAGGTATTGAAGCTTAAGGTCCACAAGATAACTTTCAATGACGAATGATCGGCCTTTTTCCACGTGGGCGTAACAATCCTGAAACTGGATCTTCAGTTTGCGATATGCCGATGGGATATTCACATGGTATACACCCAAAATCTGGTTTGTGCTAAAGTGCCAGATAGATGAACCCCTTTCCATGGGTTCTTAAATCAGGGAAAGATGTTTCACCATCTAAAAATAAATGGGAATTGCGATAGCAGCTTACGCTGGGTGTTCTGTTTCAGACTTAAACACTTTCCATTGGTTCGTCAACAAGGACAGCTCAATTAAACTACTCCATACAGGTCAACTCCTGATCACACCTTTTATTATCAATATAAATTGCAAATTTTTATCATTCAGCCGTATAAAATATAGAGCTCTTCAGACTATTCCACAATTGGTTTTCTAATTCACCAGTATTAAAAACAAACCAAAGTACCAAATTGGTCCTATTCTGTATATTATACTGATTGTACGGAATATGTTTAGGTTGTAATTTGCACACCGATTTGTCATGCCAGCTGAGTGGCAGTGCTCACCTAGACAGGCTGAAGGATTTAACTTATAAAGTACGTCACTATATAGTTATCTATGGCCACGGGGATCTAGACAAAAGCGTTATGTGCCAGAACCGTAGGGATCCATGTTAAGTTATATTAGCGAGACCACATGGTATATTGTGTTCAATATACAGAGTACACTAGGACATAGATTACTGGGTAAGCCCCCTTTATTGGCATTTCCTTGCTTATTTCTTCTCTAAGTATAGCCTTATGTTCCAATGATTAACCAAGTACTCCGTAGAGTTCCAACCTTGGAAGGTTGAGGCAGTGCCACACTATGGAGTACCCCGTACCTTGTTACTCCGTTGATTGACCTAGGAAAGCATAATTAACAGAAACTTGTATCCCCAGAATACCTTTCTTAGTCCAAGCTGTCTTATATTTTATTATTTTGGGAATTGACCAGAATAGAATGACCTCAACACTTTCAGCATGTCGTACCTCCATATTGTAGACAATGAAGCGAAATAATCCCTTTCATCCCAAGGTTGACCCTCGGCAATGAAATAAATGGCATAGTATACTGTAGACTAAGTAACCCAGAACAATTTTTGTAAAACTGTTGAACCGTCAAATTCAATTGTTTCAAAGTAACCGTGGTCTCCGCTGAGGCTGAACCATGGTTCAATGCTCTGTTTGTTGTTTTTTTCTCTTTTCTTCTTCTTTTCCCTAGTTTTTTCCCCTTCTTTTATACATGTCCATGTATATTTCTTTTATATCTCCAATTCCATGTAGAATCGTACTGGGGATTAGGTACTATGTAGTATTCAGCATAGTCCGCAGAGACCATCGCGTAGATTCCCAAATTTTAATATTTAGAATCGACAAAAATCAAAAGGGAAGGCTCGTCAATATTGAAATTTTCCCACAGTGTATACCCGCATTGAATATTCTGACAGGTCAAGTCCACAAGTCCTTACTGACATCCTGCAACTATGAACTGTGCATATTTCCAATCCGTCGGAAGTATACAATACTAGCTTTCCCCAGAATCATACTTCACAGGTGCTCCGTACTTACTTTGTACTCCTACAGAGTACAAAGTACAGATGGCTGCAGGTTCCCGTGACCATTCTCAGCCCGACCAGGTCAATCAACATTTCCAACCTTTTCCTCACTCGCGTTCTTTGTCGTTGCACACTCGCTTCGACGGCCCCACCAATGAAACACCCAATCTAACTACCAAACGCTCCTTATTGCACCGCGCCCGGCGATCCGTCCTAAGCTTCAGCTCACCCAGCCCCCAAGCTTCTGAATCTTCCTATGCCTCGAAGAGGCCCAGGCAGGACGAATTATACCAAGATCGCCCTGATGTGAAAAGAACAATGCCATCAAGTCTGGCTTATTCTGGAGCAACCAGAACCCTAAATGAAAATGCTCATCTTAATGGTTTAAATGGCACTCGGATCGAGGACAAGTCCTCGATCAACGAGAGCCGCCCAAAGAACGAGGATGTGTTTTTAAATATTGCGAGAGCCGATTCGGGCCGTCGCGACTCGATAGGTCGTTCGGATTTTAGACGGGTAAGTGGGAATAACACAGGGCTTGAGCCGATCGCATTCCTGATCGCTTGGGCAATCCATCGCTCGTGGCGTCCGCTGAACCCATTTTTGCGAGTGCTCGGTAGCTAACGAGAATATATGGACTAGTCACGGCTTGGTTATTCTAGTCAAAGTCTACGGTCGCCAACGACAGAACAAACCCCCCTCACCCGATCAGCGATACAGCAATATCGACAACCCCTTGCATTTCCAAAATGATTCCCCCACTGCCCCCTACAGCGCTCTCCACACTCCAGCGTCATCCGCCCATCCTCTGGACGACTCAGGTCGCTTCCGCTACAGTAGCCTTGGTTCCGGGGCGCGATCAGCTGTCGGCGTTCCTCGAAGCCGGTTCAGCCGTACGAGCCCAGAAACATCACCGCGCACACCTTCTGCTGCCGAGGAACAGGAGCGTCGGTCCTCTCTGCACGATCCGCGTAGTAGTCGCCATTCGGGACTCTCTACAATCCGAAGCAGCCGACAACCTTCTAGCTCTGAAGTGACCGGGCGACCGCGAGCCGATACAGAACGATCGCGCGCGGATGGAACCGAATCGACATTGTCCATCACGGCCCCCTCGACTGTTTGGGACGAACTAGATGATCTCAAAGATCGGATCAAAAAGTTGGAATTGACTGGGAAGCTACCTCCATCATCTTCGGCAGCGATGTACACCCCTACCAATGAGAGACCGCGGACTGCAAACACCGCCGTTACCACCTTATCCTCCTCGCCGAAGCAACGCCGCAAAACCAGCATCTCAGGTGCAGATACCGAACATAGCCCGGTGCACCCAATTCTGCAATCCGCATTGGCCAAGGCAAAAGCTGTCTTGAGCGGTGACGTGTACACCTCCCTCGAGGCGACAATAACCGATGCTTTGAACCTTTCCACCGCGTTGGGCGTCAATGCCGCACCGTCGGGTACCGTCTCTGTTGTGAATGGAGGATACACCTCACCTGAACGACATGCCCGCCGCAAAGCGGACAGTGTGTGCCGTAGCCTGACTGAGCTTTGCCTAGCCTTGACGGATGAGCAGCTAAAGAATGTCCGACCGTCGTCCAGCCGCGAGACAGGCGTGCAGCCCCAATTATTGAATGGCACGGGGGTGGATGCTCGTATGTCCATACCAACGTATCAGCGAAATGGGAACCACGAGCCCGAAAGCATTGAGCGGCGCCATAGCACGACTCGCATCTCCAGTCGCCTTGAGGCACGTCGGGCATCCCTGGTCAATGCCAGCCCTGGAAACACGCCAGACATGAAACAGAGTCCAACCCAATCTCCCGGCATGTCTAACCCAACCACTCGTCTCAATCGCATGTCAACTTCCCTCCGCAGCCGCAGGCAGACTATTGGCGAGGAGAGTGGAGAGACTGAAAGTCCACATAGTCGTTCGGTCTCAAGAGCCAATACAGAAATTGGTACACCGCTTCCTGCGCAAGCCATCCCCCTCCTCGGCAACGACTCTCCCAAGGTCAGACTTTGTCCCGCTCTATTTCCGGCATGCAGCAGGACCAGAGCGGTCTAGGATACTCCCCCCGCTCCCCGCAATACCAATCGTCACAAATCCCGCAGTCGCAGGCACAGCCATCAGAGCCTCGAACACCGACCCTCTCATCCAGTCTCTCATTCCGCAGAAGCTACATGAGCCCCGCTACATACACTCCTGCGACATCTCGCTCCAACATCCAGGCTGGGTCTCGCCGCTATGGCCTAACCCCTAGCTTCTCTTCCAACAACATACAGGCATCCCCCGTCGAAGAAAATCTACGATTGCCCCAAATGGAGCCCTCCCAGACCAGAATCTTGACCCCATCGAGCAAAGTAGCAACCAGCTACACGCCAATCCAAACACCACGACTGCGAACGAACAGCCTAGGCGCACGGAGATTCGGCCTTCGAAACCGTGTCCCGGCTACCCTCAACAATGTAAACCTCGATGACAGCATCGATTAACGTCCACATCTCCCATATCCTCTGACTGAATCCCACCACCATGGCATGCCAACCGTCGACATATCCGGTTACGTCACCTTCAACTCTTTCACGCAGCGACCCCGCATCTGATCCTGTTTCTTTCGGACATCTGCTTCGACATCGGCGTTCTCGTTCCCATCTTAAAGGACTTTGCTTGTGATATGCATGTCTCACCAGTCACGGCAGTTCGAAGCTTTACCTGTCCATAGCCCCACAAAACATTGCCCTATGCATTCTAACGAATCTCCTCTGTGTTATTTGATCTGAGACGAAACCACATCACGCTGCCAGCACATTACCCATTCTAGTTTCTCTGTGAGATCTTTCTCTACGGGAAAAATCTCGACAGCAACGACACACCATCTCACCATGGACTAACATGTCTACGGGTGATTTGTCAAATTCATGTACAAAACCTACCATTGGCGGCGTCTCTTGTCCATAATACTCTACCGCGTGGCACTATTTCATTTGTGTACCCGCTCTAGGGATTTTGATGTTATTTTACTTTTCTTGTTTTCATTTTTTTTTCTTGTTTATTCTTTTGTCATTTCTCTCAATTCTTGCGGGTACGTTTTGTATCTAGGTCTGTTGCCCGTAGGTTGGTCTTTTTTTCTTATCTCCTTTGTCACAGATGAGCATTTACATAATGATGGAATGGAATGAAATGAGATATTCAAGAGCTTTTGCTTTGTTAACTGGTTTCTAGTAAATGCACACAAGGCGCTCTGGTTTCGCCTCATGGAAAGATACCTAGTATGGATGGATGCTTCAAGTGTCCACTGGCTTACAGATTGTAGTATAGTATAACTTGCTCTTACATCTTGCTAACGAACGTGATCTAAACATGAATCCGATGGACAGACCAACGGATAAAGATATCCTGGCGGATAGACTGAACAGTCCACCTGCCGAGGATATATCAAAAACCTATTTTATTAAATTCAGATAATGGCAATGTCTTATTGACATTTAACGCCATATATTTATATTTGAGAACAACAGCCAAGGTGGTACGTAGCGAGGAGATACATGAAACGGGGGTAATTAGGAGACGAGAAGCGTTTTTTTATTATTTCAAGGTTTCGTTTTCAAAGGGTCAAGATACACCACAAATAAGGAGAGGGTAGTGTTGGTAAAAGGTGATAGCGTTGCAGTAAATCAGGGATCGGAAGGGAACGAGAACAGGGTACATAAGTCGAGGGGATAAGAGTGGATGAAAGACAAGGATCAATATACGCCGCCAGCTATGAACTGGTGGCGTACAAGGTGGAACGATGACAAGGACAAGGAGGAGGTAGAGACCGGGGTAGTGGCGGAGAGGTCTGTGGTTCAGGAGTCGGGATAAAGACGAATTAAGGACATCACGGTGACAGTTCAGCTGGATGTGGGTAGTGAGGAAGGGAACGGTGTGAGGCTGTTGTGATTGACAAAGTTGAGGGTTGGGATCGAGAGACATTCGAGCTGCGATTCAATTCAACGCACAATGGTCAATAGACCACACAAACTTGGTATCTAATACGCATGTGTACCCTCCATCCATCGCAGTGAGCTTTTGCCTTTTTTGTGAATAAGACGTGTGAGGCTAGAACCTCAGAGAGCCGAGGAAGAAGATCAAGACAGAAAGAAGACTTGAAAGCAGAATGAAATAGAGGAATAAAAAGGAAATAAAAGAAGCGCTAGCACATGACCGCCGTTGATCGTGACCGACAAGTCTCCAAGGAAGTCGTAAGGTCAGAGAACACAAAGGAGTCCTGCTAGGACCGTCTCATCCGCACACACACTAGAGAGGATCCCAAAGGGTTTACTCCTGGGGAAGCTGGCTGCGGCGAGTCTTCTCAGCTTCCAGGTTCTCATAAAGAAGGTACAGGGCCTTTTCGTTGGCCTGAGCACTTCCCATGATGGTGAACATGCGCTCGCCGGTCTCGTCATGAGGAGCCTTGGCGATCGAAATGCGAGCGCCAGAGCTTCGGCGGATCTCCGTGATCTTGGTTCCGCCTCGGCCGATGATGCATCCAACCATGTCCGCGGGAATGCTGATGTTCTGGGTCTGGATCTCCTCGCCATCTTCCGTAACTAGGGGATAGCCGCGGTTTCCAGCATCGGAGTTGGATCGGCGGTTATAGCTACCATCGCTGAAGTCGGCGCCGTTGCCGGTACGGTTGTACTGACGGCTGTTACTGTTGTTCTGGTAGCTATTTCCAGCCGGGGGGTTGTTGTTGATCGGCTGCGAGCCGCTGAGAGAAGCGCGCACGGCGGGGTTGTAGAGAACAGTGCCGGTTCCGCGCTGCCAGTCGTCAAGCAGACACTTGCCAATTTCCCAGATGGCCTTCTCGATGCCCTCGGGGGTACCCTGGACCTCAACAATACGCTCTGTGGATTGGGGGAGCATTTCCTTCTGCGCGACCATCCGAACACCCGATGCATCCTGAATGTGCTTGATCTTCAGACCCTGTCGTCCAATGATGGTACCCATCTGGTTGTGGGAGATCAGAAGGCGAATGGCTAGAGACAGTTAGAATAGGCTCGAATCGGAATGAGATTTTTCGGATTCTCTGTATAGGTCCCTTAAACTCGCCATATAGAAGGACGAGTCCAAATTAAAATATCGAGGGAGACAAAAAAAGATATCACTTACGGTGGGTCCCATTGTTAGAGACAATGCCGCCCATGCCCATTTGCGGGGCACCCTCCAAAAGACCCTTTGCGACGATCGCATAGGCCCGAGCAAGCGAGCGCAATTGACCAGTAACGGTCAGGACACGGTCATGGACACCGGGAACTACCTTGCTCACACCGGCCTTGACACCGGTCTCGTCGCGAAGGTCGGCAACGTTCTTGCCAGCCTTGCCGATGATGACACCAGCCTCCTTGGAGGAGACGATAGCACGCAGAGTCAGCTCAGCGATGGCATACTCCTCCTCAGTCTTGAGGGGGGCTTCGAGATCACCCTGATCGGCGAGGTTGTCGTTGAAGTTATCGGTCATGGGCTCGTCCACGACGGTGGTTTGGTGAATCTCAGTAGAATCCATTTTTGTTGGTAATCGATGAAGGTGGGAGAAGCGGTTTGAAAGGGTCGAGTGGTGGGATAGAAGGTTTCTTGAAGACCGTACGGTCGCGGGATGCGGACGGTAGAGACTTCACATCCAAATAGTGATAAAGTCAGCTTTGCAATAGAGGTAAAAAGAAGTGCGCATGAGACGCGATGCGCAAATGAAGTTGGGGGAAATGCGTGGAATGGGATCAAACTGCTAGAAAGAGGACTCACAGAGGGAGATTAGGAAGTGGAGAAAAGGATGGGAGGGGAAAGCGGCAGAATCTCGGATTAAGAGAGGGGGAAGAAGGGAGATGTGAATAGAAAAAGCTGAGCGAAAGGGGAGGGGGAGGAGAAGAGAGGAAGAAAGGAAGAAGGTGAGGAGAAAGATGGAGATGTGAAAGAGTGAAGAAGTTGAGGTGAGTGTTTTGCTTTAAGCGGAGACCCGAGTATGAAAATCTACCTCTTTTTTTTTGTGACCTTTTCTTCTTTTTTGTATGAATTTTTTTTATATTTCTACTCTCCTGTTGTCATTCTATTTAATATCACCTCTTGGTGATATATATAGGGAATTGATATTTGAACCCCCCCCTTTGGATAAACGTCCCCCCCCCTCCATGCCTGAGCTTTCAGGTGGAAGTTCCTAATTGGGTACCGCTTCTGCCTTGACACCGATTTTGCCCTCCATATCCCTTACCGCCTTCCACTTTTATGTACCGCCTTTCTGCGAAAGTCCCATACAAATGTAACAAGATGTCCAGTAGGTACCTACGCTGTACATGTACAATGTCATTTATATCATATCTCACTCTATAGGTGGGACTTAGTACAGCATTTTCATGAATTGCTCACTCAACTACTCCGTTAGAGCAAGGAACCCGCCGCGATAAAGAGGACGGGGACGGAGAAAGGCATAGAATGTAGCATAATGAGCGAGAATAGATCAGTACCCAAGTTAGAAAATAAGTAACTGTGTTCAAAAGGCAGGTCTTTTCATTATTAATAGTGGGCAGAATACTTGGCAGAAAGAATATGGAGTGGCAGAAACCGGGAAGAATTCTGATTAAGAAAGCGGTAGTTACATGGGGTTTAGACAGGGGTGTGTCTATATCAACACCCTATGTGTAACTATATACGTTCTCTACTGATCTCTACTGGTCGGCCTTGAATATCACCTTTTGCACCTGCATCTTGTTGAATATATCATAGCCCTCCACTGCCTGTGAGAGAGGCATAATGTGATCGGCCATGAAGCCAAGCTTATGTTGGTTCCTCGTGAGCACCTCCAGTGCCCGAGGAGCAACAGAACGAACAGGGCATCGGCCCATTTGGACGGTGAGGTTCTTGGAGTAGGCATCATTGCCATCCCAGGGAATCTAAGTATCTAATTAGCAGCAATACTGTGACCAAATCCAGATCTACTTACCTCTCCATTGTGAACACCCACACTGCTGATGGTTCCCCAAGGCCGCAGCAGTTCGAAGCCAGTGCGCAAGGCAGGACTCAGTCCGACCACTTCAATGACAGCATCGGCACCGCGTCCATTTGTCAGCTCCTGAACACGCTTGTCTAGCCCAGCCCGATCCAGCTGGAAGTTCCATGGTTCAGCACCGAGCGACTTGGCAAGCTCCAGTCTCGACGGGACCGAGTCAACTGCCAGGATGTGCTTGGGCTTGTACTCTAGAGCATTGATGAGCGCACATAGGCCGACAGGTCCACATCCAATCAGGACTACTGTCTGTTCAGCAATCTGCTCTGGGGTCGAGTTCTTGAATGCATTGTTGGCTGCGAACCAGCCTGTGGGGAAGATATCTCCCATGAGCACCAAATACTTCTCGTCAACGCCCTCGGGGGCCTTCATGACGGAACCGTCAGCATTCGGGATTCGGGCCTGGTTAGTCTTAATATCAGCATATAGAGCAAAAACATAACATGCTTAGAAACCCACGTATTCAGCCTGTCCACCGTTCAGGCTGCCACATCCGAAAAGTTCGTTCTTATCACAGCGAGAAGACCACCCTTGCTTGCAGTAGAAGCACTCACCGCTATCAAGATATCAGCGTAACGTTCGTGTCTACAATGGCACTGCAAAACAAGCATGTAATGAGCATGCAGCTTACCAGGAAGTAGTAAACGCAGTGACAACACGGTCACCCTTCTGGAGAGTCTTAACCGCGCTACCCATCTCAACGACCTCGCCCACGAACTCATGGCCCATGATGAATCCTGTTCCTGCAGGCTCGATGCCACGGAACATGTGCAACTCACTATAGAATATTATGAGAATTAGCACTGATATTCTTTTCATAAAATAAGTATAGATGAATCCTACCTTCCACAAAGCGCAGTATACCCCACCTTGACTACAATATCCCCCGGGTTCTGCACCTTTGGAATAGGCCGCTGCTCAACAGCGACCTTGTAGGGGCCGTGAAACACGACCGCCTGCATCATACCAGAATCTGAGGGGGCGGGGGTCATTCTAACGATGTCAATTACCAATATTTTGCAGAGAGATACCGTGGTTGAAGTATGAGAGCAGAGACTCACTTTGGGGTTTGGTGGGGGAATTCGGAAACCGCCTTTGCTACAAAGATAGTGGATATAGTTAAATTTCTTCAATATCGGGCGATCAGATTGCAGACGGATCCGAGTGGGTTAAAAGAAATCTATTGACTAATTTCTCCATTCTCGGGCTTCTGTGCGAATCATCTGGTGGGGCTGGTACATTGCCCACGGTGGTCGGTATCCACTGAAAGCGATGCCGAAAATAGGATATAGATAGAGATGGCTGGTTTTCCAACACGAAGGTTTCCTTCTATATGATGTATGTGTTTGTGAATGAAGACAGACTAACTTGGGGATTTGAGCTACTACTACGAGACTATCGACTCTTATAGATTGTTGATGCTACGTGGGAGAGAGATAAACCGTCAAACTATATTCCAAGGACGCACCAAAAAGCCTAGCATGGCACTCAAGTCCTGCTCTGCAAATGTGTAGCTGGGATCCGGTTTCATCTGGTCCAAAGAAACTGTGCAAAAAAGAAAATGCCAAATACTCCATGTTACACCTTTCGCGAACACCAAAGCTGAGAAAAAGAAGGCAAAGCAGGCCGCAAGAATCAGTCTCGAAAAGCACAAAGACGCAAGAATGCTCGGAGAATGTAGCCCCATGCTTATCATAAAATCGGGAACTGGCCTGTCAGGTGCACGAATTGAAGATCAAGATCGACACACATAAAGGTCATCGAACGAGTGGAAGGAAGTTTCACTCCCACTAACAAACGACGCAGAATAACTCCTCCTCGAGAATGAACTTCCCCTCCTTGTATTTCTCGCTGCTCTCGTATGCCTTGTCGTACTTCCATCCTACCGTTTCCTTGCACTGCCTGCAGACGATGTCGCGCACGATATGTCGACCTGTCGTCATGCTGCGCTCTACAGCTTCGCCTTGCGTGACGTTGACAACTTTATTGAAGAGGTATGCTTTCCCGTGCTGGCCTCGGAAGTTCTAGTGAGTCGAAAGTCATGGGTCAGCGTCAAGTTATTCATAGCAGGAAGTGTGTAGGAAGAATAGGATTTGACGAGTTATCATACCCGGCTCATGATGTCGTTAAAGTCTGCCAGGTGAGTCTTGCATCCCTTACACCCAAAAATCTTGTTGGCAGTCAAGTAGACGTTGTATGAGAGACCCATGGTGGCTGTGGTTATTCGGTTATTGCCGGAGAGGCGTAGGATGTGTTTCTGTGGGGATCTGAGATGGCAGTCGAGGTCCTGAGAAGTGAGCTCGAAGCAGCAGAGTGCTGACACTTGAATCTAGAAGGGGATATGCGGGCCCTTTATTGAAAAGGGGCAGCGTGTTTGCCTGCTTTCTTCGATATGGAGTAGTTGGCCCCGCCCTGGCTTCGGTTTGGGAGGACCTATGCCGTAGCCTTGCTGCTGACCCCCTTAAATGGGCTTGCGGCTTTATACTCTGTCAAGTGTAGGGTTTCAAAATTTATGAGAAAGTATTCCAGGCCTTGCAGAGGGTCTATGGAAGGAGGAGGATGTGTCGGACTTCACAGCCCTGGAGCTGACGTGTAGACGATAAGCCGATAAGCGGATCAGGAGGAAACTCGGGATTCGCGGAGAAAGTAGGTGGGTTAAAGGGCTTTTTAGAAAGATCAGCTCGCTCAGGGTGTGTGTACAAATGTTTCAAAAGTCAAGTGAGCTGATCCCAGGTGAGTTCGGAGGCTTAAGTCACAGTGCCTGAGGCCCCGCACTTGGTCCCAACCCCCGAGAGCTTCCTTTGTCACGACCTTGTACTTCACTTGAGAGATTTGAACCCACTACAGGGGATATACGAGAGTGCACTAGGTATAGGCAAGTTATTTTGGGGGTAATCATCAATTCAGAATCCCTGTACATAAGGCGCCGGTAACATGCGCTCCTCCAAGTATGCTCAAATGACAAAATTACATGTCTGAATCAGCTGCATTCTAATTTTTTACAGAAAGCCCTTTCACATCTCTCTGCTTCACTCGTAGTCCTTCACGTAACGACCAGGCAGCTCAACATCCCACATAGGTCGCTCCACCACTGCAACTTCCAGCATCCCACTCGGGCTCTGGTCATCGGAACCGTCATCTGACAAGGTGTTGAGAGGAACGATACCGAGGATATCACGGTACTTATAGGTGTGCCACCACCGACGAGTAGGCTGAGTTGAGGCACCATTGACCTCCACAAGCTGCTTCTTCGGGGTATCGCTAGCGCCATTGGCACCAAGCAGAGATTGGTTCTTCCGAGATCCCTTCCGTGGGGTTTCAGTTTCGACAACAGTTCCATCTCCACGTCGTAGACGGGCGAGGGTTGACTCATTGGTGGCTGCAAAGGTTTCGTCGTACTCGTAGGCTTCGTCGTCTTCGCCTGCGACACGAGGACGTTCCTTTTCCAGCGCGATCCATTCTCCCTGTGATTCATCGCTGCCGACGATCTTGCGGACCTTGGTCCCAAAGTGGATATCCATCTGTGACTGAGGGATTCGATCACCAGCACCGGTGTTGTGTTTCCTCCGCTCGTCTTCATCGTCATCGAGGGCTTCGCGCTTGCGTTTCGATGCCTTGACAAGCTGACCCGCGATCTTGCCCTCTTCGGTCCCAGCTTCAGCCTCATCGGGGGAGGGGAAGTCTTGGAGCAGATCAAACATCCACAGCCATGATGCTCCATAGAGCCAGAGGCGCTCGCGGCCCTCAAAGAGGTCCCACATGCAGCCCATAGCTCGGTCCTTAACTCCTCGGAACTCTGCAGGAAGGTATGCCTTGGGATTGCGTCTTGACCAGTCGGACAATTTGCCATCCCGAGCGTCGAATTCGATAAGCTGGTGCTCACTTGTGAGGACCATTAGTCGAGATTCGCCAGACTGATGCGTGGCATTGGATAGGAGCTTTTGTGTGGGGGCAGAATTGGGACGGAAGGACAACAAAGTAATGCCGGACTTCATACGAGGAATTGGTGATTCGGTGGCAGCGGTAGTCCAGCGCTCGCCCTCAATCACGACATCCTCGTCCTCATCATCGGATGAATCGTCGTCGGAATCCGAGGTTCCGCTACGCTTGACCGCACCGTTTGCGGGTGCTGTGGCTGTCTCCAGGACCCAGGTGTCGACACAGCCAGAGATATCACCACTCGCCAGAACCTTGCCGTCATCTGAAAACACTACAGATCGTATCGTTCTCTCGTAGTCACCCAATGTTCCGTGGGATGCCTTTTCGTGTCGTACGTGACGTGTGGCTCTCTTGAGCTTTGCAAATTGTGGCATCACCTGAGGCTTCTCATTAGACACGGAGGTTTGCTGGATCCTTGCCATGTAGATGTCGCTGTTGGGGCGAACAATTGAAAGCCATCGGCCGTCGGGGGAGATGGATACAAGGCGAGCACCTTCATCGGAAAGCACCTTGGGTACTTCGATCTTCTGGATGCGCAGAGCACCCTTCTCATCGCCCTTTCGTCGACGAAGAGAAAACAATTTGACCTCAGAAATGGTTGCAATAGCGAGCGTCTTGCCATCTGAAGACAACATCGCCGATGAGATGTTTTCCTCGCCCTGGATCAGCACCTTTCCGACGAGTCTATGCCGTTGGCCATCAATGTTCTCATGCAAAGATGCAGGGCCTCGCGACACACGCCACAAGCTCACTTCTCTGTCCCAGAAACTCATAACCAAACGAGACGACGGCGCGGAGGTGAGCTGAGGAATCTGCGGGAGACTCGAAAGCTTGCGGTGGTGTTCCTTTCCAAATTCACGAAGAGGGAGAACGATCGGCGTTGCATCGGGACCTTTGAACGAGATAAGTTAGCATTGCTAGAGCACATCAAATTCATAGCGGGCAAAGGTTAACATACCTCCAGATACAGCGATACTGATATCCTTTGTCTCATAGACAGCAAATGTCTTGACATCGTGGGTGTGGTAGCGACGATGCATGATCTCAGCCCAGCGACCCTTCTTGTCGCCCTTCTCGCCCTCCTTCTTGCGGTAGACAACCGTCCTCTGATCGGCACCGCCACTGATAACGGTGTCTCCATTGGCACTCACTGCGATATCAAGAGTATCGGCAAGATGGCCCTGTATCCGTTGAACGAGAGAATAGTTCTTTGCATCCCAGAAACGAATTTCACCAGCAGAGTCACCGGAAACGATCGTGCCATCCGGGAGGCATTTCACCGACCAAACCAACAATTCCTTCGGGCCACCAGTGGGACCTTTGCCCAGAGAGATTGTCCGCAGCAACTGACCAGTGCGAATATCGAAGAGACGTATAGAACTATCAGCGTAACCCGCGACAATGGTATTGCGGTTCTGGAAGGTAACGCTCAGGACGCGTGCTCTTTTCGTTGAAGGACGCATCAGGCGCAAAAATTTGAGCTCGTTATCGGCAGTAGACAAGATGACAATTGACCCATCCGCACATCCTGCAGCGAGGTGCTGACCTGTGTACTCGCCCTCAGCGGGGGTAATCGCCTTTCCATCTTTGCCCTTGGTCGGCTGCCAGCGAGGCTGCGCAGCAAGACACCAAATCTCTCCATAGTTTCCACTGGAGTGGCGCAACGGGCGGCCATTCTCAAGATCCCATTCGGTGACGGCTGTGGAGTATCCAATGCTAAACAGACGCAGTTTTCCTGGTAATTTGGCGCCATCGGGCCCATCCTCCTGGGGATCCAGAGTCCATGCAAGTCCTTCGATACTTCTATCCTTGCCACCACGCATCACGGTCTCCTGGAACCAGGCACCGCGCATCGGGTTCCATATTTCAATATCACCATTCGCACGACCGATCGCGAGTCGGAGGGTGGGTACGCCACGTCCAGCTAGATCTGCTGACGGGGGATGCGAGAATGCAAGTGCATTGATCGCTTGTGGGTTATAAGAAACGAAACGGCAACGGTGAATATCCATGATTGAAGATGTGGGCTTCGAAGCCAGAAAGCTCGTTTCGGATGGTTTTAAACGGTGTGCAAATCAGAAACGGGGGTGCTGAAGATCAATTCAGAAATAATTCAGCTTGGGCTGTAAAACCAGCCTTTAGACAGTCATCTCTTAAACACAAAGGGGTGATTATAGCGTGGTGCCGAAGCTTTCCTTGCGACTGTTGCGCTGCCGCTTTTTTTTTCTGTAGATAATTTTTAGCGGCCGGAATATCTTAACTAGTTTGGTATGTTTTCCCGAGATCACGTGTGGGGCATCGAATATCATTGTGCCTCGCAAATCAGGCCAATATTTACATGAACGTTCATGAGAAGAGCAAACAATATCTTTGTCGCTAAAAGTCTTCTGTCAAGCGGGTATGCTCTTAGTTGGCCTTCATTTCTAAGATTGAAATATGATTTTCCCCCGAGTTCCAGTACCTAGATACAAAGCAGGGCCTCAGATCCAATATTGGAGTATACACTTGTACAAGGACAGGATTGACACAAGTATGGTCGAGTAAATCCAAAGAGTACATGGTTAAAGCTACTATACATCCAATGCGCCTTACTTGCCCACTAGAAAAAACGTTGTTTTATAACACTGTGTTTGTACAACATCATAACGTTGCGGGGTATCTTCGAACTCGCTATTGCAAACCCCCTCACAGAAAGAGATGAGTGAATTTCAAATCGACCAACCGATAAGATGCGGTCAACAACCATTCTATCCATCCACATACTGATCAGGAAACAGTTACCGATCAGCAACCTGACTTGGTCGTGTTGCAGCCTGAATCAGGGGTTTGCGGCGGCACCATTGGATATGTGAGCAAGTTTCGTCGGTGCAAACTAAACACTCGGGATGTAGCCCAGTTTTGAATTTCAGTGGCGTAGCATGGACCGCGTTGTGCTCTTCGAGGCCATTATATATGGATACTACCATGCTAGATGTAAGGAAGCCAGCGGGAATTCTGCCCCGAAAATGCAGGCTCAGCTGAATATGTCAGCGCGAGTAGACAAAATAGGCCATGGACAGGACAACGCAATCTACGGCCAATAGTCACATGCAATCGAGAATGGGTGCGACAGGTCCCTATCAAGATCACCCTCGACAGCGGGCAGAGGCGGTTCATCCATGGGTTGCCACGTCAGAAACAGCCATCATCGTTAGCTTGCCATAGTCCATTGTGGTTGATTGGAAAGTAACCTCTCATGCTTGCTTATGTATCGGACTCCCGAGCCCGCTG